ACTTCAGGACGTTTCGTCACCGACCATGCACCTCCCCATACCTCCCCCATTTTTTCCTGCAGCTCTTGCTGAGGAGGAGCTGGAGCCTCTATTGGCCAAGGCCTCTTTGCTGGTGCTGGACGCCCTGCCACGGCCTGACCAGGCGGTCGCGGCGGTCGCGGCGCTGGCGGCGAGCACCCGCAGGTCTCAGTTCAGTGCTTCTACCCCCAGATTTGCGCGATGTAGATGCTACCCACCAACATAATTAGTAGGTAAATATGATGGGTCTTGTCTTTGCTACAAGACGTTTTTTCCAGAGTTCTCAATCTTTTTGAATCCACAAGAAGGATAAGAAGAGAAATTGGAAGTCAAAGTGAGTTCTTGAAGTTAGTATTTTTTTGATCCAATAGCCTGCTTCTGTAAAAAACACAGCACATTTCCTCAGCTGCACATGATTTTCTTGCAAAACGAGGCATGAAACGCCTCAGCCTTCCGCCTCTTCGTCAAAACGCCCCCCATGAATAACTTGTTGCTTTTCACCGTGGCGCGGTGGTGATCAAATCCGAAACCATGCGTTGTTTTCGTCAACCCGGTTGGTGCTCCAGGTCCAGGTGTCTCAGGTTCTTCGGCTTTCAGGTGGCTCGCTGGAAGCAGTTCGAGGAGTGCAGTGAAGGTACCGTTTGCGGTGGTGCCCTGGCAGCACTGGAGCCACACAAGTCGACGAGCGCAGTTGTGCTGTTGTGCCTTCTTCATTCCGGAGCCTGGTACACCTCACATTCGGATCCACGGGGCACGGGGAGACGAAGGACGTTCCTCATCTACCTCAGAACTGAAGACCAGTCTGAAGACTACGCGATACTACGCGACGACGCTTTTGTGAAGGGGTCCAGCTGGGAAAAGGGCAGATAGGCAGGAAGATAGGACACTAACGGGGCGCAAGGAAGAGGAAATAGGAGGACCTAGGACCTAGTGTACAAGAATTGAAACTTGAACAGGTTCCACGACAAAAAAGAACAAGCTAGGGCTAGAGCTGCTCAATAGCGGCAAGACGCAACAGGTAGCCACAGAACAGCTGGACAAGAAACGAAAAGAAGCACTGGATGAGTAGCCCATATGTTCATTTTGTGTATTTGTTATGTTTTTTTTTGTGTTCCGCATGATGTTATTGGTAGAGTTTTGAGGCGCAATACTGTGTTTGGTGGACAGGGCACTATAGATTATTAACAACTATTAGATATAGTTAGGCTTAAATGGTTGAGCTAATTGAATTGGACAGACGGTTGTGAAAGTGGACTGTTTCTTTTGAACCACGCTTGCTTGCCGTGTGTTGCGCCACGTTGCGGTAAGAGTTACACCCCCAGTTTGGGGCAGCTCAGAAAGGGGGGGCCGATCTGGGCAAAATTCACACGACTTACGTGTCAATACTCATGTGCTTGCTTTCCTGCCAATCGATGTCCAGGATATGCAAAAAGATTTGGTTGATTCATGTTGATTCTCATAGGTTGAACTTCTCCGCATGTTGTTCGTGACCAAGTGACCATAGTGACCGAACTATCTCCTGGTTCTTCCGGTCACGAGGGGTTTGCGCCTGTTCCCTTTGGACAGTCATCGTTTGATCATTTCTGGGCTGTTCCCTCTGGGCCTGTTTGATACTTTCCATGGATTAGAGTTGGAAGAGTGGTTAGGATTGGATGTTCCACCTGCTCAGGGGCATCTATTTGTGGGTTGAACTTCAGTTTGGGAGGCCGGGGTAAGTCCGGGCAAGAGATGTCAAGATACAATGCATTGCCTGGACCGGTTGGTTCGCTGGGTTCAGGCAATGAGGGCAACGAAGGACATGAGCAGAATGCCCACGGTGTTGCGACTTGCCATTCAAGGAGACCCCCGTGGCAGATGGTGAGACCCTGACTCAAAGAAATACAAAAAAGCACTCAGACCACATGGTCCCATGGTGGGTTTGAATGGTAACATGCTTGAGCCATATTCACAAAAATAACGGTTTGTCTACCATGTGTTGAACAAACATGGAAGCGGAATCAAGCCCTTTGGAAGGTGGGTGTGCTCCACTTCTTTGATTATTGTGCAGACAGTGGATCTAATTGGTCGCAGTAGCTGTCGGCAACAGAATATCGTGAGTTCCTATTGGTAATGGCCTTTATTTAGCCATACCGGCCAATGTTAGAGTGATTAGGATAGAAGAACGAGTGCCAATTCTTGCAGAGAAGCTTGGTTGCTTCTATTTGTTCATGTGGCTGCTGCCTTTGGTTGTTGTATTTGTTCTTGAATGTTCTTGTTGGACTTGTTTACCGCAAACACTGCAGCAGGTAACAGTCAGATATTCTTGGCCTATGTTACACTTTGTTGGAGTGTGAACTGCCAAGCACAGGGTGGACCAAGTCAAACTAACACACCCAGACCATCCATGGGACGTCGTATGGGGTGGTAGCCGTAGCCCTTGCCTTCACAGCAACTTTCAGGCATAGAAGTGGTGCCATAGCTTCACTAAATTTGCATAACACCTGTATACAGTATACATACTCTACACCGTGCCTGGCGAGCAGAATGCCCACGGAATGCCCATTTATTTGTGACGACTGCATTCCTCCGGGTATCTTCCAGGGAACCAGCTTCTCAAGCTGAAGCTGCTGGAGGGCTTTTCGTGCTGAAGCTGCTGGGCGCTTGCCCACTAAGGTCCCGAGCTCCTTGTCAGCCAAGATTGATCAGCAGTTCACCGCAGTGTGTCGCTTGTCAGAGTTTGACATGCGTTGCTTTGCGGAAGGGGGTACCCAGTGGGGTACCTGGGTACCATATGGGTGTAAAGTCAGATCATCATTCATAATTTGGCTAGTCGCCTCCGTATTGTCGATCAGATATCACTCCTTGTGTCAGGACATGGTATATATTTGGCCCCTTACTTGGTCATGGGCAGCTACCATCCAGGAAAGTTGATCCTTTTTTTTGCCCGTCGCGTGCTGGTGGTGTAGTCACTTCGGACCTAAAACTTGTGTTCCAAAGTGACTCTCCCACCTCGCGGGCTTGGCTTCGGCGTTGCCCTGTGAAGTTGTTTCCCAGAAGCCCGGCCGTTTGAAACGGGTCTTTGTGTGTGTGTGTGTGCGCAGAGGAAGTGTCCGACTCACTGCAACATCACTAGACCCTGAGAATTGACCCATGGAAAAGCATGTTCCGAATACCAACACTGTCTTTGGGACGACTTGGGGTCTAGGAACATGCTCGGAACCGTCATGGATGTGGCTTTGCGGGGTCCATGCGCTTCCTATACAACACCCGCAATTGGCTCTATATATGAATTGTCCAGGCATGTCCAGGCTTTTCACATGTTCCTTTCTTCCTCACCCGCCTTTACAGCCCGAGCTGCCGCGGTGGTGCTTCTGCTGGCAGACCCCGCACCAGGTGAGGCTTTCGAAAAGAGGATCCAGGAAGCTGCGGACTTCCAACATCAGTGCAGAGAGATGGTGGTGCAGCTGCAGGCGACGGAGCGCCCAACAAATTCGGTGAAGATCAACAGAGAGAGATATGAGGCATATGTAAGGTGTATATATATATATATATATGGAAAGAAACAGATGCCGATGCTGCCGATGCCTATGATCAGTGCACTTTGGGATGTTGTTGATGCATATAGATCTATCGTTCTCGAGCAGGAGTCCAAAACATACTTAGCCATTTTGGACCATAGATGTCATTCTTTGGTGGCTTCTAGATTCTGATAAACCTCGCCGCCGCTGGAGGATTTGATTTGATCAGCTATAAGATATCTCACGACTCAAGACATCTCACGATCATTCATGACCTCCAAGCACTTGGAGGCCTTGAAGATCGACGCTTCGAGTGGCAAGACGCCTTGCCTTTTGACCGTGCCAGTTTAACCAAAAGTGACTCCTCCACTCCGTGTGGAGGGAGTCGATGTCTCACAGAGGATGTTTGGCAGTCCGTCTCGCATGTCGCCACTGCATGTTGACCAGAAGCTTTGCGAGGACTGCGCTCACGAGTTGGATCCACTCTACGGTGATGTGGCACCCATCAATCAAGCATAATCAAGCACACCGACCCTCTAAAACGATCTAAAAGGGCAAAACGCATGCGGCCATTGGTTGAGTCGAGCGTCCATGATCAGCAATTACAAAGGTCAACCCCTTGGGGTATCTAGCAAAAGTGACTGTTGAACAGTGTTGAACATTGAGAGAATTATGAGAATTGGGGGTTCGCTGGCATTATAGGTCAACCGGTATACATTTGGTATACGATGGTATACGTCTCTTTACCGCTCATGCAGTCTTCCCCGAAGCTGTCGAGTCAGTTTGCCTCTTAGTCAGCAAACTAGATTTAAGATGATTTAAGATGGTACATGCAGTCTCTTGTGCATCCTATTTGGGGGTATATGATGGTGTACGGTATACGGGTCTTTTCACCATGAGACTGCCCCCCACATTCCGTCCTCGCCCCAGATCCTCAAAACCTGCCACATCAGTTCTCTCAAGCCTCACTGGAGACTGCCAAAGAGTCCCCCAAATTGGCGTTGGTCCGGCGAAACCTGCCCTCCAAGACGGAGGGAGACGAGGGACCCGAGCGTGTCCCCTGACCCGAAGTCGTGCTGTTCGGACCAAAGCCACTCGCGCCCTTTGTTCGATCGATCGCGACGTGCTGTACCGAAGACTCGGGATGTGAAGCAAGTGAGACGAAAGACGATACGGATCGATCCGGATGTGAAACCAATTGAAGTAAAGTACACTTGTCTCTTCATGTTGGAGACAAGCTGAGGATCATGTCGGACTTTGGGACTCGATCATGTTGATGAAAAACGACGTGTTGTTGTACAAGACCCTCAAACAAGCCTCAGTCGTGGGATGAGTTCGTTCATGTTTGTAGTGCTTCAGCCCTTTTGAGCCCCCCCCTCTCAGGTCCGTGTGTTGGTTTTCCATGGGGTTTTCCTTAGCACCTTCAGAACGCCCGACCCACCGGCTTCGCCGCCCGCTGTTTGCCCACCGGCTTCGCCGTCCGAGGAAGGTCTCGGAGAAGAACTTCCAACGCTTGGAGGAGCCAACGAGCCGGCTTAATCTCCGACCTGAGGAAGGCTGTGTAATTAATCAACATGGACGAAGAATTCTCAGAGACTCCATATTGATTTGGGTGTGTGTTAATAAATAAAGGCAGACCTGCCAAAGACCAGCGGAAGAATGAACATATATATGAAAATAAACCAAAACCCATTGGGTGGGGATCGCCCTAATTATTAGAATACACACCGATTTAGACTTTGGGTTTTTGGGATTCCGTCCTATGGCCTGTAGAGCCGTCCTTGTCAAAGTGAAGCATCATCCATTGGGCACTGGTCATGGGATATACCTTGGGTTTGTCCTACTACCCGTAACAGTCAGTAAACAAGTATCACTATTTTTGAACAAGGCCTTTACTAACAATCATCATCCATTGTTGCTGGTACTAGGATGGACCGAAGACATGCCCCAACATATGTCTAATTAGTTGCAGTAGTCACAGTCCAGGTACCTGACTAGTGAGCCCCACAGACCCTTGGGGTAGTCATGTATAAAAGCCCTATAGACCATGGACTCTCGGGTACCCTCGGTCGCACCCCGAGCAGCTCGCAGTGCCGACGTCCGGGCCCATGGAGTCCGGAGAAACCAACACCGCTGGCCGCTTGGCCGAGCGTGGCCGACATGAGACGGATGAACCCCGCCCCCATGAGACGGTGGGCCCTCTCCGAAATGGCACTGCTCGGACCGCACGGATTCGGACCAGTCGGCCTGGCACTGGAAGTACGGTTCCGTGAGCCCTTCGAAGAAGAACCGAGCGCAAAAAGCGCGAGGATGACACCTCCAAGCTGACGCGTGGAGTCGGGGTATCCCAGAGATGGACCGAGATGAAGCGCCCGTTGGTCTCCGGCAATGCCCTTGTCCAGCGAATACACCGGCAAAGCATGGCAAAGCCATTGGAAGGGTTTGGGTGAAGGACGGGTGGATGATGAACTCTTTGAGATGCTTGAAGTCCACACTATACCACTGATTTTGGGATATTTGGGGGTGCTTTGGGCAAACCCGCATTGAAGTCATATAGGGCTTTGGACCCCAATGCCGGCTCTCGGTGTTTCGGGGGGGCGGGCCGTTGGAATCAAAGCTGCGCGTGTTCAAATGGGGTCGGTAGGGTCTATGAGCTGTGAGTGTACAGGTTGAACTCATCAATGGGTAAGGTTGAGTGTTGGTAGTGGGTTGGATATGTTCTGAAATAAGTTCTATATTGACTGGAAGACAAGCTGCTTGTGGCATGTCAGTGGTATTTGTACTGGTACCACTGTACCACTATGTACTTCGAGAGGGAAACCCATGTGACTTTCATCCACTAGCGTTCATCACATCCACCATTGGTCTACCGCATCCATGTGTATTTTTGTTATGCTTCCAGACGTCCAAAGGTGAGGTGTGTACAGATTGAGTCATGACTCCCACTGGCAGTCTCACTCTTGCAGTGTTTTTCTTGCACAAATGCTCGGCTCCACGTCACTTGCACGCACGAACTGGCACCTTTTGGGCTACCAGCAAAATCCATGGCCAGCTCCACGACATCACGTTTGACAGGTTCATGGGGTCACAAAATACGGGTGTTGTGTTCATAAACAGACCTGGACTTCACGCGGGGGTGTAGGTGTGCGCCTGGTGTAAGAAGTACAGGAGTCGGAAAGAGATGCGTTTCTGAGCGGCTAGCTCAGTCTTTGGAGCCTTTAGCCAACCAACACATCACCAGAGCTTTGCAGCAACCATCACTGCAAAGCCACATGCAGAAACACACGCACACACACGTTTTCAGCCATCCAGTTTTTAGGCCACGGATTATTCCCCACCGGCGCGGATCGCGCACGCACATTGTGGTGCGTCTTCGACTACAGCAACTCGTGAGGCGAAAGACCCGACGGGAAGACGTGATACTTTTTTGGCCGACATCAGACGGTCATGGTGAGAATCAGAGGCGAAAGCCACTTGAACTGGGCTTTCTCGCCATTCCTTGACATGTCATGTCATACTACTGTACTACATTTGGGTGGTTAGTAATCCAGTGCATATAGGCATATAGTCTAGTATACTCTTTGATTGGCATCAAGCCCAAGGGCTCATGGACCTCAAGCACTACATCTCTTTTGAGGTCCAAAGCCTCACACTATATTGTTTGCGTGTATTTGAGGTCAACTTTGAGTGGCATCTTCCGAACTAGCTAGCCTGGCACCACATTCTGCTTGGCATTCGGCATCTCCTTTTCCACGGCTCCCGGCCTTCCGCTTTGACCACCGATTGCGCGGTCCGCTGTCCAGATCCGTCGTCATGGGCAACACTCCCACCGTCCACTGCCGGACGCCCGCACCTGGGCGAAACCAGCCGCCTCACCGAGCCGTGGGAGGAGCGGCGGACGCGGCCGGGCGGCGCGGAGTTCAGCCAAGCCCGGACACTGCGGACTGGAAGATATGCCCACATTGACCCCGCTTCAACCATATATCAATAATTATTCCATACATGTAGTGTCACTATACTGTAGAGTTTGGGAAGGTGTTCGGGGTTCGCCAGTTGGACTCTCCTGACCTGAAGGCTTCATCCCACGGCAAGATATACATTGAGGGCATTGAGAACTGTTTATGTCCGTCCGACGATGAGAAATACCGCAAGTGATCATTTACAGGCTGTTCTTCCAAAGTTTTGCTGGCAAGATGCATATTTCAAGTGTTGTTCATGGACCAGGGCCTCCAGGGCTTGTGCCGGGCAAGCTGTTGGGGCTTGTTAGGGCCCTGTTGATTCGCGGGATCTCATGCAAATCTCTTCTTGTGGGGAGAAGGTGGTGAAGCCAGAATATGGTCAGACAGCCGCGCACAGCCGCACTTGTCCCAGCCCCTCTCCCCCAACAAACATATAGCCGACGAGCATAAGGGGTGGAGAGTCTTTGACTATTAGATGTAATGTTGTTATATGGTTGGTTTTGGTTTAGGTTTCGGCAAGAGTAGTGCACTATTCGTGGCATGCCCAATAACAATAACGATCAGCTTTTGGTGAACGGGGGGGAACAGAAACGCCGGAGACAAGCCACTTCGGTCTTTTGATGATGTCATTTAATTATGATGTTCATAGACTAGCCGTTTGTCATTTGTTGATCCAGTTAGTAGCACTACCCTAACTTAGAGGTAATGCCGAAGAATTTTCTTACTATGAATGACGCCGCATAAGTGTTCACCCACCAAGAAAGGCTTGCTTTTTGAGGTTTATTCACTGCCCGATCCGTCATTTTTCGTGTGTTCACCCTGCAGATGGGCGGCTGTGATAGTTCCCTCGCGGCCAAGGAATGCAATCGCGCCTGCGACACTGCCGCACCTCGACGTTGGCACACCACCCGTGGGAACTTGAAGGGACCCCGTGAGGAGCAATCGAAGGGACACTCCAGAGGACCATGGAAGAGAGATGACAGAGAGAGAGAGAGAGATCACCGCATGTGCATTGGTGACGTGAAGAAAGAGATTATGGAGTTGTTATAGTTTTTTTTGTTGGTTTTGCTTTTAGGTAGACCTGACAAGCAGACGCATGATTCTGAAGGGATGTCCATTTTGGTGGGTGTGGTGAATGTCAAAATCTACGAACCTGGACCTTCAAAGCAGCAATGTGCACATTGGACAATTACATTTACATTATATTTTGATATCCAACTGCTCAAAGCTTAAACCACTAGAATGACAAGCACGTTTTATGTTGAACGCCCTCGAAGAAGGACAACTGCTGGAATGACGTTCTTGATGCAAGCATATGCAAGCGGGCCATTTTTCTTCAGAATGTCCCGTCCCGTTTTCGCGCGCGAACGAACGGCGCGGTTCCGACGTTCTCCATGGGATGTGACGTTCTCCATGTTGTTTGCCGATGGTCCGATGATAGTAGGAGTCCGGCGGGCTGTGCACACCTGGCACTGCCCGGCATGCATCAGAAGATATCCTCCCAGGTGCATGGTAAGGGCCCGATACCAGGGTCCAATCCGAAGGAGGAATGGGAAAGGTAGGCAGGACTCCAGGACCACCTACGACCACTGCGACAACTTCGCAGATGTGGAATCCTCAAACAGGGGTAATCTATATACCTTATAGCGTCATCTACTGAGCTGTTCGACTCCCAATCTTGTCTCCCAGCCTTGGCACTCTGTTTTCCCCAACCTCACTGGCACCACTCCCCAGCCTCACGGCTAAGGATTGCATCAATGAGTTGCAGGCCAACGTCAAGGACAACGCATACCAGTTACCGAACCCGATTCAGACAGACAGAGGGGGCGGCGCGTGTGAACCCTCGCACGCGGCTGGGGAGGCGACGATCCCCCATAGGACTGGTCGACCATTGGGTTTCTGGAGGGGTCCTTGACATGACCGCGTTGGCCTTGAAAAGAGGTTGGCCTTGCAACAGGCCTTGAGCAGGTGGCAAGAAGTCCCTGTCATGCTTGACCATCTTTGAAGTGAAACGTTGCATTTGTGGTTTGATACATGTCTGCTCGGCAGTTGTGGTTCCTGTGAATCTTGTAGCCGGGCCTGTCCGGCCACAACTGGAGCTAATGATCCCATGCTGGACGGAGAAAGGCTCAAAATGAGGAGCCGGATCTTCCCCTTCTTATTGGAGGCATGATGTGTTCCACGTCCACATCGTCCACGTCCTTCTATCCAGCTGCTTTGAGGGACGGAGAAAGGAGAACCGTTTCTCCAGGAGCAGGAGATGAAGAAGGAACACCAGCTGATCCGCGCCGCGCGTGATGGGAACCTGAACCAGCTCAAGGAGCAGATCGCCAACAAAGCGGAGTCTTGGACCAACAAAGCTGGTCCCCAAGAAGTGAACAACGGTTTCCAAATGTTTCCAATACATGTTGGGTGGGGATCTACTTTCTTCTTGGGGGTCCAACTACAGCTGGTTCCTTCATGTTCCTTCCACCTGTGGCATGCCGCATGTGGTGCATGCCGCGGGGAAACCGTCCTCCGTGCCACACCGCCACGCCGATCTCGGCTCCGACGATGGGTGGGTCGTTCGAGGGTCGTTCTCTCAGTACCTTTTGGAGGTTCGGAGGTCGATGCGAGAACCAAGCGCATGTGGAGTGTGGAGGCTTGGTTGGGGTGACTGTTTCGATAGGGGATGGCTTATTTAATTATTCCAGGGGACCTGTGGGATAGCGGAATAATTTTTTTTGGAATATTTTTGGTGGATTAATATTTTATCAAAAGGCTAGTCATAGGGCCCCCCTGGAATAATTTTCAAGAATACTCAAGTTGCGACGTTTGATGATCTGAAGTCAGCAGCTGGACGCGAGTGAGAGGCTCAAACAAGAAACATCAAGAAACAACAAATATATATAAGGATATATAAGGAATACAAGAAGCTAGCAATCGCTGGCCATGTACAAAACCAAGGAAAACATAGGAAAACCAATGTTCAGATTTAGATTTTAGATTGGCAGCATTTTGCAGCCATGTCGAAGTCTTTCACAATATGAGTCAGATTATGTCAGATTGCTCTTGCTGTGTGAGTCGCTGTGTTGATATGTTTTTTATATGAAGATATAGAGAAAGCTAAAAAATATTCCTGGAACTCAACCAGTTACCAGAATAATTTTTGAAAACTAACTCAAGGGGGGGGTCAGAATAATTTTAAATTATTCCTAGGGTCTTTCACAGGGGGGGGCCCTTAAGCCCTCCCCTATCTGTTTCGTTTATATGCAGACTATAAGCAGACGGGTCAAGCCAAGAAATACGGCATATTATACAGCAACTTACAGCTCGTCTCAGCAATGCATTGCAGAAACCTGGACGTTTCCTGGATTTGTTTCGAGGTTTCTCCGTAT